CATGTGTCTGTAGCCAGGTGCATTGTGGGGAGGGGAGTGGACCATGTGTCTGTAGCCAGGTGCATTGTGGGGAGGGGAGTGGATCATGTGTCTGTAGCCAGGTGCATTGTGGGGAGGGGAGTGGACCATGTGTCTGTAGCCAGGTGCATTGTGGGGAGGGGAGTGGATCACGTGTCTGTAGCCAGGTGCATTGTGGGGAGGGGAGTGGACCATGTGTCTGTAGCCAGGTGCATTGTGGGGAGGGGAGTGGACCATGTGTCTGTAGCCAGGTGCATTGTGGGGAGGGGAGTGGTCCATGCGTCTGTGGACAGGTGCATTGTGGGGAGGGGGGGAAACGTGTCTGTAGCCAGGGGCATTGTGGGGCAGAGGAAAGGGCATGTGCCCACAGCCAGGGGCATTGTGGGGCAGAGGAAAGGGCATGTGCCCACAGCCAGGGGCATTGTGGGGCAGAGGAAAGGGCATGTGCCCACAGCCAGGGGCATTGTGGGGCAGAGGAAAGGGCATGTGCCCACAGCCAGGGGCATTGTGGGGCAGAGGAAAGGGCATGTGCCCACAGCCAGGGGCATTGTGGGGCAGAGGAAAGGGCATGTGCCCACAGCCAGGGGCATTGTGGGGCAGAGGAAAGGGCATGTGCCCACAGCCAGGGGCATTGTGGGGCAGAGGAAAGGGCATGTGCCCACAGCCAGGGGCATTGTGGGGCAGAGGAAAGGGCATGTGCCCACAGCCAGGGGCATTGTGGGGCAGAGGAAAGGGCATGTGCCCACAGCCAGGGGCATTGTGGGGCAGAGGAAAGGGCATGTGCCCACAGCCAGGGGCATTGTGGGGCAGAGGAAAGGGCATGTGCCCACAGCCAGGGGCATTGTGGGGCAGAGGAAAGGGCATGTGCCCACAGCCAGGGGCATTGTGGGGCAGAGGAAAGGGCATGTGCCCACAGCCAGGGGCATTGTGGGGCAGAGGAAAGGGCATGTGCCCACAGCCAGGGGCATTGTGGGGCAGAGGAAAGGGCATGTGCCCACAGCCAGGGGCATTGTGGGGCAGAGGAAAGGGCATGTGCCCACAGCCAGGGGCATTGTGGGGCAGAGGAAAGGGCATGTGCCCACAGCCAGGGGCATTGTGGGGCAGAGGAAAGGGCATGTGCCCACAGCCAGGGGCATTGTGGGGCAGAGGAAAGGGCATGTGCCCACAGCCAGGGGCATTGTGGGGCAGAGGAAAGGGCATGTGCCCACAGCCAGGGGCATTGTGGGGCAGAGGAAAGGGCATGTGCCCACAGCCAGGGGCATTGTGGGGCAGAGGAAAGGGCATGTGCCCACAGCCAGGGGCATTGTGGGGCAGAGGAAAGGGCATGTGCCCACAGCCAGGGGCATTGTGGGGCAGAGGAAAGGGCATGTGCCCACAGCCAGGGGCATTGTGGGGCAGAGGAAAGGGCATGTGCCCACAGCCAGGGGCATTGTGGGGCAGAGGAAAGGGCATGTGCCCACAGCCAGGGGCATTGTGGGGCAGAGGAAAGGGCATGTGCCCACAGCCAGGGGCATTGTGGGGCAGAGGAAAGGGCATGTGCCCACAGCCAGGGGCATTGTGGGGCAGAGGAAAGGGCATGTGCCCACAGCCAGGGGCATTGTGGGGCAGAGGAAAGGGCATGTGCCCACAGCCAGGGGCATTGTGGGGCAGAGGAAAGGGCATGTGCCCACAGCCAGGGGCATTGTGGGGCAGAGGAAAGGGCATGTGCCCACAGCCAGGGGCATTGTGGGGCAGAGGAAAGGGCATGTGCCCACAGCCAGGGGCATTGTGGGGCAGAGGAAAGGGCATGTGCCCACAGCCAGGGGCATTGTGGGGCAGAGGAAAGGGCATGTGCCCACAGCCAGGGGCATTGTGGGGCAGAGGAAAGGGCATGTGCCCACAGCCAGGGGCATTGTGGGGCAGAGGAAAGGGCATGTGCCCACAGCCAGGGGCATTGTGGGGCAGAGGAAAGGGCATGTGCCCACAGCCAGGGGCATTGTGGGGCAGAGGAAAGGGCATGTGCCCACAGCCAGGGGCATTGTGGGGCAGAGGAAAGGGCATGTGCCCACAGCCAGGGGCATTGTGGGGCAGAGGAAAGGGCATGTGCCCACAGCCAGGGGCATTGTGGGGCAGAGGAAAGGGCATGTGCCCACAGCCAGGGGCATTGTGGGGCAGAGGAAAGGGCATGTGCCCACAGCCAGGGGCATTGTGGGGCAGAGGAAAGGGCATGTGCCCACAGCCAGGGGCATTGTGGGGCAGAGGAAAGGGCATGTGCCCACAGCCAGGGGCATTGTGGGGCAGAGGAAAGGGCATGTGCCCACAGCCAGGGGCATTGTGGGGCAGAGGAAAGGGCATGTGCCCACAGCCAGGGGCATTGTGGGGCAGAGGAAAGGGCATGTGCCCACAGCCAGGGGCATTGTGGGGCAGAGGAAAGGGCATGTGCCCACAGCCAGGGGCATTGTGGGGCAGAGGAAAGGGCATGTGCCCACAGCCAGGGGCATTGTGGGGCAGAGGAAAGGGCATGTGCCCACAGCCAGGGGCATTGTGGGGCAGAGGAAAGGGCATGTGCCCACAGCCAGGGGCATTGTGGGGCAGAGGAAAGGGCATGTGCCCACAGCCAGGGGCATTGTGGGGCAGAGGAAAGGGCATGTGCCCACAGCCAGGGGCATTGTGGGGCAGAGGAAAGGGCATGTGCCCACAGCCAGGGGCATTGTGGGGCAGAGGAAAGGGCATGTGCCCACAGCCAGGGGCATTGTGGGGCAGAGGAAAGGGCATGTGCCCACAGCCAGGGGCATTGTGGGGCAGAGGAAAGGGCATGTGCCCACAGCCAGGGGCATTGTGGGGCAGAGGAAAGGGCATGTGCCCACAGCCAGGGGCATTGTGGGGCAGAGGAAAGGGCATGTGCCCACAGCCAGGGGCATTGTGGGGCAGAGGAAAGGGCATGTGCCCACAGCCAGGGGCATTGTGGGGCAGAGGAAAGGGCATGTGCCCACAGCCAGGGGCATTGTGGGGCAGAGGAAAGGGCATGTGCCCACAGCCAGGGGCATTGTGGGGCAGAGGAAAGGGCATGTGCCCACAGCCAGGGGCATTGTGGGGCAGAGGAAAGGGCATGTGCCCACAGCCAGGGGCATTGTGGGGCAGAGGAAAGGGCATGTGCCCACAGCCAGGGGCATTGTGGGGCAGAGGAAAGGGCATGTGCCCACAGCCAGGGGCATTGTGGGGCAGAGGAAAGGGCATGTGCCCACAGCCAGGGGCATTGTGGGGCAGAGGAAAGGGCATGTGCCCACAGCCAGGTGCATTGTGGGGCAGGGGGGGGGGTAGGTGTCTGAAACCAGTTGCATTGTGGGGTGGGGGGGAAGCATGTGTCCATAGCCAGGTGCATTGTTGGGCAGGGGACGTGGTACATGCCTGCAGCCAGGTGCATTGTGGGGCAGAGGAAAGGGCATGTGCCCACAGCCAGGTGCATTGTGGGGCAGGAGGCGGGGCATGGGCCCGCAGCCAGGTGCATTGTGGGGCAGGAGGCGGGGCATGGGCCCGCAGCCAGGTGCATTGTGGGGCAGGAGGCGGGGCATGGGCCCGCAGCCAGGTGCATTGTGGGGCAGGAGGCGGGGCATGGGCCCGCAGCCAGGTGCATTGTGGGGCAGGAGGCGGGGCATGGGCCCGCAGCCAGGTGCATTGTGGGGCAGGAGGCGGGGCATGGGCCCGCAGCCAGGTGCATTGTGGGGCAGAGGAAAGGGCATGTGCCCGCAGCCAGGTGCATTGTGGGGCAGGTCGCGGGGTCTGCGCCCGGAGGCAGGGGCATTGTG